TTTAACTAAAAGTGGGCGGATCGCTTTTGGGGGCGGTGCTTTCGAAGTCCTGCTCAGCAACCAGCGCACCTTTCGTCGTGAAAGCGCCACACCTCGCTTCCTTGGCAGCCAAGTAACTGCTTCGTGTGGTGCATATGCTTCCCCGATGCGCTTCCTCTTTATCGTAATCGCTGCCTTTAAGTCTTTTAGCTGTGATTTTGGTATCGGGTGCAGGAAGTACGGTCGGGAGTGGGTCCCAAAACTCCGTCTCTACCCCGGTCGATGATGCACTCCTCATGGTCAAACGTAGGGGAATGCGTCTAAAAATGCAGAGTTTTGAGAACCCACCCCGCCCGAGGCTTGCTGCAGTCGACCCCTGTAAGGAGCAAAAACTGTCTGCACTGGACACCACCTCTTGCCTATGAACTAGAGTCACCATCGCTGCTCTCCCTGCTTTATAACTTCTCTTAGAACATCATTTCATATAACGAAAACGAACTTGAACTCAGCCAGATTTACATGAAAAGGTGCGCATCTCATTTCAGCCTGACCAGTCTTTGACTTCCTTGCAAGTTATAGTGTACGAACAAGGTGGAAAGGGCTTTATCACAAACCTACCATCGTTGCATTATAGATTGACTTACTTTGAGTTGTATTCTCTTTCTAATGTTCCTTTCTGGACAGTCTCAGCAGGGTTAGAATCCATTTTGAGCTATCGTTCGAGTGGCCGTTGAGGGCCTCTGCTCCCGCTCAGCGCAGTCGTGGTGGTCGGTGTCGGTGTTGGCCATCGGAAACTGCCTGCAAACTCCATCTTGGACAAAGTGCAACCTCAGTCATTTGTACAGTCTTGCTTCTGCAAGTCGACCGATGTTTAAAAGATTTCCATATAAATAATGCAAAAACATCTCAAGCATAAGAAGAGCAATTTCGTTTTTCAGATTTGCAATCTTTCATCGCGACCGTCCTCAACACCATCCATGGGTTAACGGAAAGTGCAGGTGGGGAAATTTGGACGCTTTCAGTGTGTCGGCTCACTGCTTCTAGTTTAGGAGTTGAAGAGCAATCGGGCTCAGGATGGCGCTTGTCCCACACTGCTGCGCTCGTTGGCCGCGTGGTCAGTGTGGACCGCCGCGTTCAGCTTGTTCTTTGCTGTTGCAGTTGTGGTTACGTACATGCCATCGGCGCTGTCTTGTCAGGAGATTTTCATGGTCGACTATCTCGGAGTCTATTCAGTGCTGCCTTTTATTTTAATAGTGAGTTTCCAACTTATTAGGAATATTTTTGGATGAACTTAACGGAAATGGTGAGTGGTGGCGATTGCCCCGCCCACAAAAGGCGTTCCTCTGCCACCTTGTTTGTGCTCTTACTCCCTTCCCATGGTTAGTAGCTTCTTTAGTAAGAAAGAGATTTGGCAAAGTAGTGAGGCGAACTTTCCGGTGCTATGGCAAGATACGGGGACAGGACTTGACAGGAGGAGGTTGCTGCAGGGTCAACCCTACGTTGTTACGAGTAACAACGGGGGGGTCGTACTCAGTTGAGCTTGGAGGGAGGGGGGTCGTACCCTCTCGGTGGCCGACAGTGGGATTCTTGGTAATATCGGATAATAGCCAGCACGTTACGTTTTCGTAAGATGACTGATGCATCTTCCTTCTAAATGAGCTTTCAAATGAATCAGCGAATTAGAAGGGCGCCCGAGGCACCAAGGCAAGGGATGTAGTGCAAGCGCATGCTCGAAGCTTTCTAGCACATCCTAAGTTAAACATGAATTGGTCTTCCAAGAAGTTACGGGCAGTGAAACCTAAGAAAACCCGTTTTCGAGGAAAATGGCTTGAAGAATACCCCTCAAAAAAGTAACAACGGGACTAATTTTTGAACTGCTGACTTTCAGGAACGTTTTTGGTGCTCGTTAGAAAGCTTGAATCCTGTAGTTTGTCATACCGTGTTCAGCTTCCCAAATGAATGACTTTGAACAAAGTTATGATCGTTTAAAGGGTTCAAAAGTCGCATTATTCTTCAAGGTCTGCATTTTCATTCTTCCTTCTCATCGCAAGTCAACTTATTCATCTTGTTGTTAGAGAACAAGTGAGCTTTGCTTAGAAAGGCTGAGCCTTGATGATCCAAATCTGCCCCCATTTTCCGAAGTGCCTGAAATTTTAACGAAGAAAAATTGCGTCTAGGGGGGGGGGTTTCCCATTATCCCGCTTCGCCACTGTTTCCGATCCAAACGCGCCTCCTTCCGCCAGGGCGCGGTTCAACATATTCGAGACGCTACCTCTAGTTCTCGTAATATTGCACCTAATATTACACATATCGGTTTTTTTGGGTCTTAGATTGAGGTCGTACAAATTGTCTATGAGGGGGGGGCGGCCGAAAAAAAAACTGTCAAAAGTACAATCGATACGGGTGACCCTAAGTTGCTGCTACGGAGGGGCGAGAACTAGGGAAAAGCGAAAATTGCTCACACGCTCTGGAGTCTCTCTTTTCCCTTCAGAGACCTAACCCGTTTTTAATTAGAAGAAATGTCTTATGTGGTTTTAAGCGCATTGCCTACCAGCCGTGCTCCCCATATCTTGCGATTGCGAAATAATTTCCTTTTCCAGCCGATCGTGATGATGGCTGCCGGTCTGACCAACAGATGGTCATGCTGTTCGTCTACGGCCCATGTGCGAGTGTTTAATAGCGTCAGCGCTGGCCTGACAGCTCTGCTCTTCATTGCTCTCCCAATCGTATTCCATCTTCAGGAGCCATCAGCGTGAGTCTTCGCGACCAGGTGTTCTTTCATTCTTTCTGATACTTCCAGTCATAGTGTGATAGCGTTTTCAGTACCGTATATTTCCTGATGTTGCTTCTGGCACCTCTGGGCTTATGCGTAAGTGGCGTACTGCGCAGTCTGTGCTTGGTGGGACGAGTTTATACGCAACACATCACTGCCTTCATAGGAGTCAGTTTTGCCGTCGCCTTTCATCACCGCACCACTGCTTGTCTTCGCCGTACTCAGAACGAAGTGAGTTGTTCAAAGAAATTTGTCTTTTCCTTCTCTGTTATTGTTTATAGATATTGTTCCAATGCGAAAACACCTTGCTCTCGTTCAACTGGTAAGCGCAAAGTTGAATCTTAAGGGCAGGGGTCATGGCTGGAGGGCTGTGCCCTTCTATTGTCGTCATCAAACGCCATTGGTGGACTAGAACCCTTCTCTCGCTGTGTGTGCGTTTGTGACCGCCTTCCAACTTCCTTCCACCAATGACGTTCCGAGACGTCACCAAAACCGCACCGCCCCACAGTCATCTCGAGGAGACAAAAGGTCACCGGCGGCGCGGACGCGAGCGCGTGCCGGTGACGTCACAGCTGCGATAAGTGCGACGAGAAGGCAAAGGGACAGTGTCGCTGCCTTTTCGCTCGATAGTGGAAGGTTGCTGGCACCTTACCAACCAGTGCAATCAGTAGTGCTGTGGGAGCAGAGTAATTGTATTGTGTATAAGTACCATTTTCGCGCTCGAAAATCAGGAACTCTTTAGAATGTGGAGGAAATCAGCCTCTGTGGGTGAACCTTTGGAAGTGCGCAATTAACTTGAAGGTTATTGCAATATTCTTAATCCCCGTCGGTTGTTCTACTCACTTCGTTAACTTAGAGCACGATAGAGTGTATAATACGTTGTGTATCGAAGTATTTTCGTCGAACCTTGCTCGTTACTCTCTCCCTCGCCGCGCTTTGACGTCAAAGTGACGTCATCCGCACGCGGTCGCGTCCGCGCCGCCGGTGAGCTATTCCATGGAGCCGCTTCTTCCTCGCCTAATCACGGGTCGTCGGTGCCTCTATCGCCCTCGCTCATACACAGCGTGTTAACCAGGATGTGTTCACGTCCGGACACGGAGGGTAGAGGAGCGATGGTTCCTGCCTTCCATTCCAGATGGTCCTAGTCCGCGATGTCGTGGTCACTGTCCTTAAAGTCAGTGGGCTTGCTGAAGTGGATCTTGATCATGTGCACCCATAGAACCATAGCGCATACCGGGACGGCATAGAAAGAGT